AAGGTTCAATTTCAACTATCTTACTAGAGAAAAAAACAAAAAAAAAACAAAAATCGATTGGAGAAGGCTGCGAAGCGCTTCAAATCCTCGTTGTGGATCTGATTCGCAACCTAATACTGCCACCAGATCGAATTGGCAGGATCAAAGCCTCGGAAAGATGTTGAGGAGGATCCACGACGGATTTGTGCTTGAGAAAATATGAGAAAATAGAAGGGCTCATGAAAAATCCCCTCAAACCTGATCGTAAACGTTCAGCTTGATGCAATCGATTATTGATTTCGGATCGTCAGCACCATTGACGGGAAGAGACAGACCATGTTGCCAATTTGGATTCCGTCCTGACACCGATGGAGTGCATCGGATACTGTTCTGAACGAAAAAGCATAAAATCTACTAGCACAGAAATACATCTTTGTTCCTTCCGTGCCGCGCCGCTGAACGCTTGACGCGATGCACGCTTGCAGCTGCGCATGACGCGAGTGCGCTGACTATGAACACGGATGTGAGTCAAATGTTGACGTCACACCAATTAAAGATTTCTGTTTCATGGAAAAAATTAATAAAAACAATGATTTACTGAGTCTGACCGATGAACAAGACAAAAAAACGGGGCCATTACCTGAAATGCCACTTCGACAACCGTGTGTAGCTGGCCGTCGCTCCTGGTGGGCAAATTCACTGCCGCCTGTAGATTTACCATCAGGTTTAACGATGTCGGTGAGAAATTCTGAAAATACGTAAACAAAGCGATCAGGTGGATATAGATAAGTATAAACACTGCTCACCTGTTGTCGAATCGGTGTTCGTCGCATTGGTTTTAACTTTCGCGACAGATCGGCTGGTCCGAAAAGTGAACCAATAGCTCCAAATAGTCCTGGTAGCGGTTCTTCACGTACGATTTCCGAGTATGACAGTTCAGCAGCGTCTTGGTCACGTTCCAGAAGTTTCGTCCTGGAATCTCACATGGTTGTCGCTTTGCCAGAAGGAGAAATCTCTTTTTCACTATTTTTCCAAATTTTTATAGTACAGGTCCCGTACCTGAGTTTGACTGCATGTGCAAACCCAATTGCTCGAGCTCCGTCGACAGCAGTACGAAATTTCGCTTTCTGACGGCGATCATCTCCAAGTCTTACAGAAGGCACATCGATGTCCGATCCGTCGATTGGGATTCTATAACAGATCGATAAAAACATGGTATGGCTCTGGCTGATCGATATAAAACAGCAATTCAGCCACCTTTTCTAAAGGTTAGGTTAAAATGAGTTCAGAATAGACAAATCCCAAAATATTATATATAGACCATGCAGTCTCACCTCCCAACGGCGTTCCGCTTACGGTATCTTCTTTCTAGAGCATTCCATCGTGGGTTTGAATCAAACTCCTCATCGGAAACGAGGCGCACTCCAGGCGGAATGATCGAGAAAGGTCCGTCGTTCGTGACCTTGAAACAAATTTTACGAGTAAAAAGAGTCCGACTCAGAATCAGCAAGGAACCTGCTGCTGAGCCAAAAAGTTCCTCCAGAAGGGAGATATCAAAAACTAATTTCAGCCTCCCGTAACAAAGTGGTATCAAAGTCGTACTCGCACTCAAGTGCTCAATAAACAAACAAGAAGATAAACAAGCGAGCAAGTAGAAAATCTAGTTTTTGCCTCTCCTATAAATCGATGACCAATTTACAGATCAAATGTGATCACACACTGAAACGTTGCCTTTTAAAAATGACCAATAAGTAGGAGCATTTTCAGAAATATTACATTATAATTATTATTAGTTACTCTTATTGGGTGATGGCGAAGTAAAAGAGGCGGGGCTAACATCTGACGTTGACTTCATTCGACAACCATATTAATTTCGTAAGCTATGAGCGAATGTACCTACTTTGAAAATTTCTGACTTTCAAGCGATATCAATCAATACCGATGGTTACTTACCGTCACTGGAGCGGCACTTTCTCGCCGCCTCGTTCTGGCTTCCGTAGACCAAGAAGAGCGAGCAATGAGGGTACCATTCGCAGAACTAAATATTTGTAAGTATACTATTTTATGCTATATTATACATCAACTCCTTATTTATCAGAATATGAATAATATTCACGAATAAGATATTTTTTGGTTATGCGGAAAAGCGGTTTTACTTGGGTATTCTCAAGAAGATTAAGAAGCAATGAGGCATTAAAATATTGCAATAAGTGGAATAAAACTTGCAAATTCTTAGAGACTGAAATTAACCAGTTCAATCGAATTTTTTTCACAAATAAGCAAATCGCTTACTTGTCGGTATTCTCGAAGGGTATCCGAGCTGGAGGAAGATCATTGTCATCTGTGGCGGGCAGGGGAATGTTCACCTGAAATCCAGGACACAACTTATCAAGCGACTACTGCTTTTGAAAGCGATCAATGTTAGTTGCTTAAATGTGGAGCAATGGGTTAAGACCGTGGCGTTCTTATGGTTATAGGATCGGTTCCTCGCTCTGACCTCCTTATTTACTGAGTTTTCATTGAGTTTGCAACACTCAAAACCAGAAAGAACATATAAAACAATCAAGGGCTTAAAAGTACTGAGGTACAGTATCAGTACTTCAATCGATACTAGAGGGTGCGCCATAAATAAGGTGACAAAAATATTGACCTCCAGAAATCGCAGTTCATACTGACACACGATCAATTCTCGTGAGTTATTTACTATGCATCGCTATACAAAACAAACACGCGGTGATCCTATATAACCATCTCCTGTATAAATTATAGCTCAAAGACGCTTCGGCTACTCATCGTCTGGGACACGCAGAGTTACCTGAGAAACTCCAGCCCAAGCTCTTTTCGACGATTTTTTAGGAACAGCAGCAGTATTGCATTTTGAAGCGCAGGCTTTCCTTTCCACTATGGACTACATCCAGCGACCCATCACACTGTGGTCCGGGAAATTCGTAGGAGGATTGCAAGCTGGGATAAAGTCGCGATCATTTCCTCAGCACCACTTGGTCTTTTCCCATTCGTTAGTAAGTGCGTCGCAATTTCAAATCGTGCACATGAAAAATCTTCGACCCTCATCTGCATCCTTCCAGAAAATCCTTTTTAAAGAGGTTCGGATTAGGTTTTGGGCATTCCTCCACCAAAATTTTCGATATCGCTGTAATGATAGAGATTCTAGCGTAAACCATCGTAAAAGAGGGAAAATGGCTACAAGAGGCGATCTCACTCTTCACAGCGGCTTCAGCACTCGTAATGTGAGAAATACGTGTACTCTGAGATCTCAACATTTCTCCAACGCTGAACACCATGTAGTCAAAAAAAGTCTGTCGAAGCGTGTGCCGGGCGCAAGTAGCGCACGGCACTTGTTTTCCTCTCCAATTTCTTCTCGTCAAGAAGCATACAAGGCCTTCGAATTCTATCTGTATACAACCGTATTCAATCGGAGTAGACTCTTCTCACTGGAGAGCAACATACAAACAAATCTGCAGACATTTTTCTCGCGTTTCTGCAGGTTCCGCTGTACTCCCTCCAAAGCAATTCTATTCGGAAAAGAGGTCGTTTGTGAGACGAGGGTTCGTTTCGAGGTTTGCCGTTGTCCTGTCTACGCATCACGTTTTAAGAGACTGACATATGGGAAATGTTGAGACGAGGAGCGATCCCGGAAAAGGTTTCACCAAATGCGGCCGCAGACGGAACGGCTGGTGGATGTCTGTAAGGCTATACCGTTTTACAAAAACTGACGAGTTGAGAGCATCAAAGAAGGTATGTGGGCTTTGTGTGTCATAAACCTGAGGGGAGGTGCAGATTTGGAGGAACCCTCCGAACAAGGAAATTGCGAACGTCCGAAAAGTTGTTACCATGTTTATGCGCACCCTGTATTTTAGAGACGCTGGGTGATTCTTCACTTCACCTCGTGTCATACCTCAGAACTGACGGTAATTGTTTATTTCTTTATGTTATTTTTGGTTTTGGGTAACGCAAATTTGTGAAAAAAAGGTCATTTCTCCATCAAACTGTGCACTAACCGATCTCCGGTTAGTTCCCCGACCATTCCTCCAACTCAAAAGTCAGAAAGAATTCTGTGGATTGAAACTCACCTTTGTAAGGGTCTTCTTCGTAGTGCCAACTTTCTCAACAATCGTAGCGGTAATCGATTTTGGTTCTGATACTATCTGAATAAAATAATATTGGAAACGCATGACGCTAATCAGAGAAGTGCCTAATAGGGTCGTGTTTGTTATAATTGAGATAAGGACATGAGTCAACGTTTTCCATCTGTCAAGGAAAGCCGCGTTGCGACCGCGCGCGTCGCATCCTGGTAGTCTCAATACGATTGGCTGAGCGGTGATATGATACAAGTGGTAACGGAATACTTCTTAGAGAAAAACCTGAAGGATTTTGCTTACTACCCATAGATGTCATTACTTTACAAGAGACATGCTGACATGCAAACCGCACACATCTCACTCCGAGAGGCTCTACCCGATTTTGACAGAAACTAAATCGGACGATAAGAGAAATCGGATTTCATAGAAAAATGAGTAAAGAGAATCTCATTGCATCTCCTGAATCTTTTGACTAACCTCCAAATTGTAGATTTGGTCGAATTTGTACTGAAAGCTCTCCAAAGGCACTGACTTTGATTTACATATGAAAATATCATTAAAGTGAAGAATCACTTGCAACGATGCCTTCTTCAGCGTCTCTAAAGTATTATCGATTGAAGTATCAATCAATAGCCAGAGTGACGACGCTCAAGAAACACTGCAAACAGGTAGCCTACCAATTCGTGTTCGTTCAGCTGGTGGGAGAGCACCTACAGGGGTTAACGGACCATCCATTGTCAGTTTTCCCAGTAAGGACCTTAAATGAATACCTAACAAAATCAAGCCTATCCTAGGTCCCATCCATGGAGTAATCGATACCGTCTCACGGTCGATAATTCTCGGTATCACCGTTCCTGAAACTCACCCATTTTCACGATCCGCTTGATCGACTGTGTACATCAGAGGCGATGTAGTGAAGCCTTGCTGATTTCTGCAATTCTCCATATTGGCATATTCTTCGGCTAGACGTTCTGCTCCACTCCTCACTTCCCCGTACAGTTGATTGGCACGTTCTCGGAGGGCCGATGCTTCCTCACTGAAATTTTCACCTCAATAAGACAGTTGCTTCTTTCTGTGTCTCCTAAATAAAAGGAGGCTACGGACGTTGAGCCGTGATTCCGATACCTACATCTTGATCTTGAAATGCCGAACATGAAATTTTCCGGGGAAACTGTTTAACTGTCGGGAAAGCGACAATAGTGAGTGATATGGGAGCAAGCACGTTTACTGGACGAGTTGTCCAGGTTCAATTAGCAGTGACGAATAAGCAGCTGCGGAGCTGTACATATTTCCCTTTTAATATTCGGTAAGACAAAATTTAAATAGTTGGTAGTTACATCAACAGAAGGAGTTTTCCGTGACTACTCATTGATGATGTGAAAATGCTCAAGATTTCCTCAAGTCGGACGAAGGGGAACCTAGGTGGATAAATGAAGGGTGACAGTAGGTTTGACATGTCAGATGGACGAGTTGTCTGGGATTGTTCAGCATGATGCACGAGGAATTGAATGAATACTAAGTTTGCATGCTGGTAACAGGTGTCGCTCAACGGGTAAGATCGACACACCCGCTGGACGAGTTTCTCGGGTCAATTCACAATAACTCCAATAAGTAGATCTCGTCCCACGCTTTTTTCGAGTTTCCAGCAAATGCTACTTTACACTCTCCAAGCCTATTGAACGAGACCTGCCCTGATACCTAATACAAAACAAATAAATAATATCAAAACCAGCCTTGTCGGCGCATTTTCAGCATCCATCAAAGCATCAGTCATTTTATTGATACGTTCACATTGTTCATCGTAGAGACTAGTCAGACGAACGTGGATTTTGTCCTAGAACGTAGTTTCTTTGATCGGATGTCCACTTAGGCATGGATGTTACCTCAATAGCTGTCTGCATACCTCTTCACTAGCCAATGGATGCTTTTCAAAGATAATTCCACCAAGATATAGGTCCAATTGGACGTATTCACTGCCGCGTATCTCGTCCACAAATGTCTCCCATGGCTCCGCCTTCACGTAATTGTAGAGTATATCGTCGTTTTGAATTATCTGCAGTAAATAACCAAAATCGAGGATCACAGTCACTTCTATAGGTGAAATTGTAAAGAGAAACAGAAAACAAATACATCTGTTAATGCTACTAGTGAGTCGAGAAAGAAAAGACACAGAGTCATTTATCTGTTCTGCGTCTCTGACAGTGATCCATAAGCACGGAAACGCCGTCTTGCACTGGTCTCTGGGAAATCTCAGGAGTATGCACCTACCTTCAAAGGCTTCACATACATGGACTCGTCAATTCGGCGAAGCTTGCCCTCTGTGAAGAACTTATCCGACAATCGCTGGGTCATCCGGGTTAGGGTGACCGATCTGAAAAGACCATTAAATGATTTTTCAACAAGAGTGAGCCTTTTAGGAATGCCTTGCCAATCGAATGGTACCGATTGAAAGTGGGTCAAGACGTGCCGCTGCCATCACCTTGTCGAAACTAGGTCGCAGCGCACGCAAAAACCCAGCTTCATAGTCGTGCAAGCGAATATCTTTAATGAAAAGCCTCCGAAAAGTAAGTAAAAAAAAACGGCGAATAGCGCTGCTGTCACATCGACCGTCCAGAGATCAAAACTCAGCCAAGAAATCAGTCTAACTCGGTCAACCCTTCAATTCGTCTGATAGGTAATATCATGCCCTCTCGGAAGGACGGAAAATTGGAAATGGTATGCTTCTGCAGGTAATGGTATGTTTTTATGATGGTACAGGCACCCAGTCAAGTACTGTCTCAGTTCTGAGTTAAAGCCAAATGCATGGCGTATACCATGTTTTGCTCAAGGTTCGCTTCTGAAGAAAGCCATATCGATTGATCATTTGAGTGAAGATCACAGAAAAAGTTCTGTGCTATTCCCTTACAACTAGATCTTACCCATTGTTGGCTTCCAGATCGAGTGGACGAGCATCATAATAGACCAGATTAGGATCAACTTCGTTTACCATTTCTGCTCGGCGATAGTTCAACAGTGAGCCTACTGGTGGAGGCGGTTGATCCTAGAAAGACATCGGCTTCTACTGTAATAGTTATTCAACAGCATTACTGTATGATTCGCAAACCTCTTTCTCATAGTCTTCGACGAAAAACGCATACTGTACATCATCGGGTGGATAAAACGACTTCTGTTCTTGCAGAAAACGTGCTCCAATCTGAAAACTCCAGGATCAATCGTTGATCGAACAACACGACGAGGGCATAGCTACTAAAATGAGTTCGTACTCATCCGTTGATTCAGATCCCAAAGGAACCGAAGTAGCAGCTATCTTGAAGAGCTTTAGAAGAGCTAAAGGAGGTAAAAATGACGTCAGATCCATTCAACAGTAAGCTTGACCTTAGGAACTCAGGACAGTGAGGTAAGTATTAATTTATATGTCCAGACTACGAGAAAGCAACCGTTGAACGTATCCTTTACAATTGTAAGGGGCCTGACCGTACCTTCAGAGAATGCTCGATTTGCTCGTCAACCGATTTCAGTTCCCCTTCGGTTGGTTTTTCCTGGAATTACGGTACCACAATTTACGGTAAGGAACACATATGTGTATGAGGTAATGTTTGCTGATTGAGAAAAAAAGAGAAAGGGAAAGAGAAAATAAATAGAAAAAAACATGATCTATTCAAGTCCACAGTCTGTAGACGAAATGACAACAAGTTTCAAGAATACTACGTGGTCGTAAATGTGGCAACATCAAGTGGTGGGTGCCAGGCACCATTAGGGAGGCAGCAAAGGGGTAAGTCACAAGGAAAAACACCACCATTTCATTTGACAGAAGCTACCCAAGTGAGTCTTGATCTGCTTAAAAAGCGTGAAGATTTCAAGCTAGTTATCTCGTAGCCATGTCTTTATCTAGTGTCGTACACTAATAAGTTGACTCGCTGCATGGCATGCCATTCGTAACTTTTGACCACCACCCAATGACTTCTCCCGAATATCGCCTCTACCCTTCCAAGTTGGGTATGGGGACGAATTTTCGATCGCATCTAATCAAGCTCGCCTCGCACACCCTTCCAGAAGTTCAAGAATTAGCTGTTTTCTGGAACAAATGTCCGATCTCTGATACACGCCCAATTACGTTGAATTTATTGAAACTATTGAAAATTTATTGAGCTTTTATTGAAATCATCAGATGCCAGATGTTTGAATTAATCAAAGAACTCAAGGAAGTTCAAAATATGAAGTGAATAATCCAATTCCAACCTCCTGATGAATGGTAAGGCGACGTTGAAGCCGTTTCGCCAATTGTACCGAGCCTCGCTTTCGTTCCACCGTTTTTTCAGCCTGAAAACTTAGTCAATTAACAATTTGGTTAGCCTACGTATGTCATGGAGATGTGCAAAACATAGCTTTCACTATATGAAATAAATTCAGTGAGAAATCTTCCATCAATCAGCTGGGTAAATCACTTGAAGGCGCAATTCACGGAATTTTGAGGTACCTTTTTTGAGGCTCACCTGAGGCACTGGAGGTAACGAAGATCGATCGATATAAGAAGTAGAAAGCTTCAGAAAAAGTAGTAAAAATGGGGGTTCTACAGGATTCTGACGATGGAATTCGCATAAAAGGGGCACTTGGACGAGATTCAGCTGTGTGCATTTGCACAAGCTTCTAACTACAGTAAGCACAAATGCCAAAAACAGTCTCCCAGAGAACATTGGGTTGGAATTGGACGCAATTAGGATTTTGGGGGCTGCAGCGACTTTCATGCTAATCTTTATTTATTTATTTGTTTAGCTATTGCTACAATGATTCTACAGAGATAACCGATTAAACTCGAACCGGTCATAGTAAGTGAGCAAAAAAGCTTATTTAAAGCAAAATTTATCATTATTCTCTAATTATGTTTTCTTGTTATTCTATTGTTTCCTATTCTTTTTGTTGTTATTTAACATATTGCGATTGCCTCTGGTCGACCGTTCGAGTCTTCAACTTATGTGCTCTTTTGCCAGTAGTGCAGCCTCTACAAAGCGGTTAGAACTCGGCCACTCGTGGGCGCATATGTCAGACAAGCCCGTTATGGAATCCTTAGCACGCCCTGTGTAGGCCGTTTTTCGACTAGGCAGCGCCC